CAATACACCCCTGTGCCTCCATTGTTTCCATTTTTTCCCCATGAAATCTATCGTGTTTCCAGGGGTAAGTCATCGTTCAGTGTGCGGGATGCGCAGGGCCTGCCCAGTGGTGTTGTTTCTGGGTCTACACAGGGTCTCCATCATCTTTTTCTCTCCAGATGGAGTCCGAAGCTGATTGTAAAGTGAAGTTTACCGTGGTAAGGCACAACTTGAAAGAACACTATTTTATACATTATGAAGTTGTTAACCCCACAGATCGAGAATAAGACCACTACCACAGTTTAAAACTAAATTTGAAATAACCTTTAATTAAATACTAGCCAGGTGGATGGCCTCTGGCCAAGTCTATCTCTGAGTTTCCAGAAAATGGCCCCTGACTCAGGGTGTACAGTGACATCAGTATTTCTCATCTGATGTAATCAGGGCCACGTATATGTCCTGTCATACCTCCCACCGACATCCAATCAGAAGTATTTCCTGCCTGTGAACCTCCCGCCCACATGTGATCAAGCACATCAGTGCAGATGGGGCAAACAAACGTGTTTAGGGGAGTGAGAACATGTGGCTTGTGATCTCCCATAAACAACAGCCTCCAGCATTTCAGGAACATGTGGTTTGTAATCTCCCATAAACAACAGCCTCCAGCATTTCAGGAACATGTGGCTTGTGATCTCCCATAAACAACAGCCTCCAGCATTTCAGGAACTATCTGTTCTTAGGCAAGGGGCTTGCAGATCAGAGACATGTTTGTTTCATAGGTTCCTTAAGGTACAGTAATTAAAGCTTACAAATGTAACTTTGGTGCTCACAAAGTAACTAAAATAGGACATAGCCTAACTTCAACACATATAGCTATATTTACTGTTTTATATGTGATCTGAGAGTCAATATCAGCAGTTAAGATTAGAACTTAAATCATGTGTGTTAACTTCAACCAAGTTACCAGGGAAAAGTAGGAATATTTAGAAAATGCTGAGAGACACAACAAGATACACAGCTCTCAAGACAGAAGTCCACACCCATGCATTTGGGGTGTTTCATTCTTTTTCCAAGCTCCTGTTTTCTTAATCCTACTACCACTACTGTAAAGAAAAAAGAAGAAAGAGACAGGGTTTCTCTGGGCAGCCCTGGCTGTCCTGGAGCTCACTCTCTAGACCAAGCTGGCCTCGAACTCACAGAGATCTGCTGCCTCTGCCTCCTGAGTGCTGGGATTAAAGGCGTGTACACCACCGCCTGGTTTAAGTAGTTTTTTTTCTTTTTCTAATAACCCTCATCTTATTCAATGGTGGCTTACAATTTTGAAAGAAAAAATTTTTTTTTCTATCAAAAGTAACTAGCTTACCAAGGACCTCCAGTCCACTAAATGTCTTCTTCCTTTAATGTTTCCCACCTTATAAAACTTTACACAAATCTTTTAATCTCTCTTATAAGGAAAAAATACTCTTTGTTTACACAATATTCCCAGAACTTGATGGTTGGGAGCAAGAAGGCTTCCTCTTTCTTTCTGTTCCTTTGCACCAACTCCCTTTAAACTAGCCGATCTCAGAGACTGTGAGGTAGGATCCGAGCCAGGACAGAAGACACTCACCACTTACGTTATAATAACAACCAAGAGCTTCCTGTACCTTCCTGCTAGTTAGCCCGGGTCTGATCCGCCTGCTCTCTTTCCTCTCCTCTCTCTTCCTCCTCTCTCCTCTCTCATACATGGAAGGCTCATTAACTATAGCACTTGCTGGCCTGGAGCTCTTTATGGAGACTACAGCAGCTTACACTCTTATGTGCTATGATTCAATCCTCTAGCACTGCCTGGTGAACTCTTTCAAAAAATAAAAAATTAAAAAAAAATTGCCTTAAAGAGATGTGTCCCCTTTGGCCTCATGCTCGTTCCTTTGTGGGACATCGAGATTATTCTTTTCTGTGTCAAAGCCAAGGACCTGGTAGCACCTGAGCTGGGGCTCTCTAAAGACTAAGGGAACTTCTTATGCTGTGAGTCCCGAGGAGAGTGAGGTGTGTTTCTTTTCAAGGGGCCCCTGAGACTAACAGTATGTGCCCAAATGGAAGTGTTTGTCTTTTCATATACATACATGAAGTAAAGGAATTTGCTTAACGCTACCCCAAATTATGCCCTTTGTATTGCAAACTGAGGGCATTTGAGAAACAGCAAATTCAGGGAGGGACTTGATTTGAATTTCCCTTAAATGACCAATGACAAATGTCCAGACCTGACTGCAAAATGACTGTCTTCCAGAAACATCTCAAGTAGAGACTGTGTCAGAAGAGACTTGAAGGTCAACGTCCTGCTCAAATAGACTTGTTGCAAGTGGCTGTCCCCAGGACAGTCCCCAGATCACCTACTTCCCACTAGTTCATCTCCATCCTACCTAGGAAGGAATGCGAACTTCTTAAGTTCAGAGTAGTCATTTTTCTTCCATGTAATACATGTACACACTTTTCTTTGGTTTATCTGGTTACCATTATCTACTTAATCATGGAACACTCAGAAGTAGAGAAGGAAAGTTTACCCTCCTTCTCAGGAATTCAGTCGGAAATTCTTCTAACTCCAAACTGTAGCTGGTGGACATGACTAGATGAAGAAGGAGGTTTCTCCTTCATCCTTGCTACAGAGCAAGACCTGGTCTCTCTCACACGTACACAAAATTCAAAACCCAAACCAAACAACCATCCCCAGAAAACCCAAACCCAAATGAAGAAACAAATGAAGAGACTGTATTACATTCTGGGATAATTTAAAACGTTCATTTTATAATGTAGTAAGTAGTCCTTTTGCAGGATCATATTTTGGAGGGTATTTCACAGTTCGAGCTCACCTCACACAAGACTGGATTTAGACTGCAGCTTCAATTGCATCATTTTAATTTTTTCAACTTTCAAGGAAGGAAGACAATTTGCTCCTCAAGATACTATAGAGATTAATGGAGATGAATAGGGAAAATGGTGAGGCTTTTATTAAGATCTCGTTAGTTATACCACAGCTAACAATTCTTCCAGCTGTGGTGTGCTAGCATTTCATTGATATTCAACTACCTTTAAGCTGTTCAAATTCACACTTAAATCAACACCGTATTTGCATTTACTAGCCTAAAGGACTACAGAAATAAAAATATGTTTGAATTAATCTTTATCTAGTATTTTATGCTCTGAAAAACTCAAACACAATTGCAAACTAAGTCACATTAAGAACCTCTTTAGTTTTTTCTTCTTCCAAAATCTATTTTCAACCATCACACCAGTAGAATATCGATGTTAAGTATATCCTTTTTTTCTTTTCCGGAGCTGAGGACCGAACCCAGGGCCTTGTGCTTGCTAGGCAAGTGCTCTACCACTGACCTAAATCCCCAACCCCTAAGTATATATTTATACACACACACACACACACACACACACACACACACACGCTTACAATCAAGTAATAAGCAGACAATGAAGGTGAAACAGAAAACAATTATGAAGATAACAAACCACTTAAGAATTCTTAACGGAAAAAAAGTTTTTCTATTTCCCTGAGTGCTTAGCTGGAGACTTTTAAGACCAAGTCTGATTGTATAGGCCTGTAATTCCAATACTCATGATGTTGAGGCAGTGAGATGCAGGTAGTTCAAGAACAGACAGCTAAATGGGTAAATCTGTTGTCAAAACACTCAATCCAAACAAAACCGAGAAAATAGAACTCAATCAGGTTAAGCTGCGTCTGACTACATCTCTAAATTTTCATCAAGCATCATTATCCTCTAAGATGCAGAGTTCTGGGCTCTAAGACATGATTCTCGACTTTCAGACCTATGGCCAAGCCCTAGCTCTAAAAGGACAACTGAGGTGACTTACTGAACAGAACCCATTCTAACAGCTTCAGCAGTTAAGATTTAAAATACCGCACCACAACAATCACTGACAAGACAAGGTAAGTCTCCATCAGACTGTGGACCCTGGAATACCAAGATAAAAGTAATGTTAACGCCGGGAGTGGGTGCAACACTTTTAACACCAGTAGTCAGGAGGCACAGGCAAAAAGGAGCTCCTGCATTCCCGGGCCTAAACAAGGACAGTTACAGTTGACAGTCATTGCTTGTGGGTGCAAACAAGCTCTGTTCTGAAAATGTGCATGGCTCTGAAAAGAGCCTTTGGGTTGCGGTGAGGTCCGTGCGCGCGCTCACTTGGAGCTGGTGTACTTGGTGACGGCCTTGGTGCCCTCGGACACGGCGTGCTTGGCCAGCTCCCCGGGCAGCAGCAGGCGCACGGCCGTCTGGATCTCCCGGGACGTGATGGTCGAGCGCTTGTTGTAGTGCGCCAGGCGCGACGCCTCGCCCGCGATGCGCTCGAAGATGTCGTTGACGAACGAGTTCATGATGCCCATGGCCTTGGACGAGATGCCCGTGTCGGGGTGCACCTGCTTCAGCACCTTGTACACGTACACCGAGTAGCTCTCCTTGCGGCTGCGCTTGCGCTTCTTGCCGTCCTTCTTCTGGGCCTTGGTCACGGCCTTCTTGGAGCCCTTCTTCGGGGCGGGAGCGGACTTCGCAGGCTCAGGCAT